AATTTCGACGATACGAGAAAATTAAAAACGCAGAATCGTAGAAGATGACTATATCTTCTAGAGCGCAAAATCTCAACCAGATCGTATAATTATTATAGCCTGAATCAAGAAAACAATTTCATTCCTTCTCGCTCTGTCTCTCTCTCTAACACACAGGTTTCATGGTCGGTTTTGTTAAATGCAAAATATGAGTTCAAGGATCTCAGAACCCATAAGAGCCAGAGCAACCAAATTTGGTATCCACACTCCTGTGATATCGGACCTTATCCGTTTCGTGTCCAAATTTTGCCACACCCCCTTCCGCCCCCGAAAACGACGAAAATCTGGGGCATCCACAAATCTCAGAGACTATTAAGGCTGGAGTAACCAAATTTGGTATCCGTTCTCCTGTTAGATCTCACTATAAAACGTATATCTCAAAATTTCGCCCCACCCCCTTCCGCCCCCACAAAGGACGAAAATCTGTTGCATCCACAATATTACAGATTCGAGAAAATTAAAAACGCAGAATCATAGATAATGACCATATCTATCAGATTGCTGAATCTGAATGAGATCAGATTAGTTTTATAGCCAAAAGGAACAAATCAATTTGCAGTGGCTACGCAGCGCCCGACGTCACGCTCAGACTTATTTTCTGTCTCTCTCGCACGCACTCTTTGTCGTGTTGTTTAATATTAGCGGCGTCTGCCGGAGGAGAGCCAGTATCTTAGTATCGGGTATAACTGTAGAGATGCGGTGTCCGCAGCAATTCACAACGTTCCCCCTCGCAGAATCGTAGAAGATGACTATATTCTCTAGAGTGCAAAATCTCAACCAGATCGTATAATTATTACAGCCAGAATCACGAAAACAGTTTTGTTAGAGCAACCAAATTTGGTATCCACACTCCTGTGATATCGGACCTTGACCGTTTTGTGTAAAAATTTCGCCACACCCCCTTCCGCCCCCGCAAAGGACGAAAATCTGGGGCAACCACAAATCTCAGAGACTATTAAGGCTAGAGTAACCAAATTTGGTACACACACTCCTTTAAGATGTCACTATAAAACGTATATCTCATCCGCCCCCACAAAGGACGAAAATCTGTTGCATCCACAATATTGCAGATTTGAGAAAACTAAAAACGCAGAATCATAGAGAATGACTATATCTATCCGGTTGCTGAATTTGGATCAGATCAGATAATTTTTGTAGCCAAAAGGAACAAATCAATTTGCATTGGCTACGCAGCGCCCGACGTCACGCTCAGACTGATTTTCTGTCTCTCTCGCACGCATTCTTTGTCGTGTCGTTTAATATTAGCGGCGTCTGCCGGAGGAGAGCCATACTGACTTAGTATCGGGTATAACTGTAGAGTTGCGGTGTCCGCAGCAACTCACAACGTTCCCCCTCGGTTTTCTTTTAAATTTATTATATATATAAATAAATATAGCTAATACTGTAACAGGTAACGAAGCAGGAGGCTAGGATCTGAAACGGTACACGAGCAGATGGAGGATATGATCGAGATCCATTGCTGCCGATCTCATGGTTAGTCGGGTAGAGTGGGGGGTGGGGTATGGAGAGATCGCGTCACGATCGTGTGCGGTTCAAGGTTCAGACGGAAGAAATTTACAGAGAAATGATAGTGTAGGGAGATGAGTCAGCGGAACTAATTCGAGCGGGAATTGCTTGCGGTGTCATTGCAACTCGGTATGCCCACCCTTCATTGATCGCACCGGTCCAAATAGGCTGAGTAATGGGTAACGATCCCTAAAATAAACGCTCTACTTCTGCTAGGTTACGACATCTTGGCGCCACATGATCCTTAATAACGGCAACAATTAACGGGAATTCATTACAAACAGTTTATTCATTAAACTTTTCTACAAGCTATCATGGCTGCTAAGTGGTTATATATATATAAAGGCTACTAAAGTAATAAGGAAAATATGTTCAAATAAGCTGCAATTAAGATTAATTATATATATAAAAATATCATGATGAAAGATCCTATTAGACTAGGGTCAACTAATTATAAAGAGTATATTCAGGAATAATGGTAATTACGTTACACAAATAGAAAGGAAAGGAAAATATGTTCAAATAAGCTGCAATTAAGATTAATTATATATATAAAAATATCATGATGAAAGATCCTATTAGACTAGGGTCAACTAATTATAAAGAGTATATTCAGGAATAATGGTAATTACGTTACACAAATAGAAATATATTCGAAAGGTTTTCAGTTTAATTGTGTAACAAGTCAACGATATATTTCTATACGTCAGTAGGGGATGGATTGGAGGGGATGTCGAGGTCACTGCCGGTGGGGATTCTCTGGTTCCGTGCTCATTCGGTAACTTGTGGGGGGGGGGGGGGGGGGGGGGGGGGGGGTCGTTTGACCGCGTCTCGACTCATACTACATAAACTTTAAAATTTTAGAATCCCGTGACTCTCCAGGGAGCTAACTCCGAAAACAACAATTTGCATATTCCGATCATAGCCGAAATGAAATGGCACAATCATACATAGGGCGTACTCGAAAGTACTAGGGGCTTTCGTCGGGGTGTTCCAAAAATATCGCGGGCGTGAGGTCTTGAGATGGAAGTCGACACACACAATTTTGTACCCACCCTTCCATGATTTCCAGTGGTGCGAAATGTTCTGGAAATCCCTAATATTCTCACCCTACCCCCTTACGTCACCATGTCACCAGGAAATTAGAAGTCTACTCCATATTCATGGCTGACAAAATTCAATATATTTCTTTGGACTTAATACTAGACATGTGGCTACATCATCAAAACCGAGCGAACAAGTGTTTCACTACCTGAAAGAACACAAGTCTTCAATTAACCAATAGGCAAATCAAGGGAAAGAAATTAATGGAAATGGAAAAATATGAGGCTTAATCTCTAAAGGAGAAAGAGAAGCGTTTTAGATATTTATAGAGGTATGTATATATAAACGAGAGCGTATATGAATATAATATATGATATTAGAAATAAGGAAATTAAATATGTATAAAGAAAAAACGAAAAATTAAAAAATTATAAATTATAAAATGCTCATACCAGCGTACCGCCATGGTGAGCCAAAACGCAATTTAATTAAAAATAAAAAAACATTTTTATGGTTGTTGGTTTAAGGCGATTAAAAAAAATTTTCTTTTTTTTATACCCGATACTCAAAATGAGTATTGGGGTATATTAGATTTGTGGTAAAAGTGGATGTGTGTAACGTCCAGAAGGAATCGTTTCCGACCCTATAAAGTATATATATTCTTGATCAGCATCAATAGCCGAGTCGATTGAGCCCTGTCTGTCTGTCCGTCCGTCCGTCTGTCCGTCTGTCCGTCCCCTTCAGCGCCTAATGCTCAAAGACTATAAGAGCTAGAGCAACGATGTTTTGGATCCAGACTTCTGTAATATGTCACTGCTCCAAAAATATTTCAAAACTTTGCCTCGCCCACTTCCGCCCCCGCAAAGGACGAAAATCTGAGGCAACCACAAATCTCAGAGACTATTAAGGCTAGAGTAACCAAATTTGGTACACACACTCCTTTAAGATGTCACTATAAAACGTATATCTCATCCGCCCCCACAAAGGACGAAAATCTGTTGCATCCACAATATTGCAGATTTGAGAAAACTAAAAACGCAGAATCATAGATAACGACCATATCTATCAGACTGCTGAATCTGGATCAGATCAGATCATTTTGTAGCCAAAGGAAACAAATCAATTTGCAGTGGCTACGCAGCGCGTGACGTCACGCTCAGACTGATTTTCTGTCTCTCTCGCACGCTCTCTTTGTCGTGTCGTTTAATATTAGCGGCGTCTGCCGGAGGAGAGCCATACTGACTTAGTATCGGGTATAACTATAGAGTTGCGGTGTCCGCAGCAACTCACAACGTTCCCCCTCGTTTTATATTTACGTTTACATTTATAACGTATTCTGCGGAGAGGAAATAACTATTCGCCAAACCAGACCGATTTGACCTTAAAAACGCACCGAAAGCTGTTAATATATTGATCACACATCAGATTGAGTTCCTAGGCCCATAAAGGTGGCATTGAATGTTGTTCAAAGGCATAAAATGATCATTCGAAAATATCTATAAACTATTTAAATGAGCTTTTTTCTCACTCCTTTGGCTGCAACTGTATTTTCTTTGACTTCAAATGGAGTTAATTATGCAATCGTTAATTTCTTCATATTCCTATTCATATTCGTTTTCTCTCTCTTCGTTTGTCAGTTCCGTTATTTGCCAGTACCGTTTTGCATTGCCTGGCAGTGCATCTCTGCCTGGCAATGGAAATGGAAATATGTAACGTAAATGCGAAAGAGCTAAAAGAGGATGCCATAATTGATTCAGTTCTATGTTCACGCACACCCTTATTCACATTCATTATAATACTTCAACGAAAGAATATCATTTATACAATCATTTACAAATTCAAATTGCTCCGAACATAGGTTAGCCACTAAAATCTCTCTTACACCCTGCCACTAACTATCCGGTAGAATAAGAGAGATTGAGTTACCCTCTCGGGGGCTAGAACAAAAAAAAAGGGCGATACAACGCTGGCATTCCTACAGCCACATAGCGCATGTACGTGTTGCTTCTGTTTATTATATATTACTGAGGTCTTTTTCGAAGGTGTTGTGTCGTAATTTGCAGTTGTCGTTTTTGCTCTTTGCCTTTATAGGGGTTGTTGCTCATATTGCTCATATTTTTGAATTCGTTTGTTTCTCGTTACAATTGTTTTTGGTTTATACTTTTGTTCATTTAGAATTTGCCTTAAACATCTCTATGGTTATTTTTGTGGACGCACCTCATCCACGCCAGCGTCCGGGGTTATGGTCCGGTCCGAGACGGTTGTGCCTATCCTGTCCAGCCAGACTCGGACCGTACCGCAGTGCCACCGCCGGCCGTTCGCAGCGCGCAAGCCCCTTAGGGCAGAGGGCGACGAGGGGGCGCCGCTCACGAGAACGTGCTGCTTGTGCTTTACCATCTAATGGACTGATGGCCCGTATTGGCCATTGGCCATTGGCCGTGTTGGAAGTCGGCCTTGGCCTGACCCGGAGCTGGTGCTACCGATGCCCGTCTACCCACTGATGGCTGGGTCGGGGACGGAGAGGAGGCGGTTCCGTGTGGCACGGGGCTGTGGCGGGGACTTGGCGCGTCGGCGATTACACGAACGGGACACACACACCAATGCATTTTGAAGTTTTTATATTTTTTTGTACGATTTTTTTCAGAGTTTTTGCAGTTGTCCTGATAACACACGATGATGAACATACATTATCTACTAGGTCACATTTAGGTTAGTCTTCTTTTTTTAGTGTATTTTTTATGTATTCTTTTTTAGTTTTTTTGTTCGCATTGATATACTTTGGTCTGATATTCCTCCTTTGTCATTGCCAAATCCTCTATGTTCGTGATTTCATGTTAGACTTTTGGTGTTTTTTGGTTTCCTTCTGTTCTTCTTCTTTTTGTTTTTGCTTGTTGCTTGTTGCTTGTTGCTTATTAAGTGGCTCCTTGTGCTTTTGCCCTTGCACTGGCTCCTCCATCCCCAACCCCCACCGGCAAATGCCACAGGGTGTGTCAGGAGGAGCCTGCTCCGGCTTTGTGTTTGCTCAGAGAGCGGGAGAGAGAGTGAAGAGATGACGAAAGTGTTGCAATCGTAACTTCGGCTACCAACGGACACAATTCGAGAGAATGTGGATTGACGGGCTGTGTCCAACCGTCTTTTGCTGCAGAATGCTCGACCGCCCAGTAGCAGTCCTCCGGATCCGGGTATTTATGCGGCAGCTTGCGGAATTTAAACTTGGGAATTACAAGCCCGTGCAAGGCAAGTGCATCGCATTCACATTCGCATCTGCAGCTTTTGCCAAAGCTTTCCAACGTCCTGCACATGCACACGCGCAGCTTAAAGTTATAACGCGGGGGTTGCATGCCGCCTAAAAGTATGCAACAGCAAGTGCCACCTGTTGTGCTGTGTTGTGTTGTGTCGTGTTTGAATTACCTTTGAATATGGGCGAGGCGCGCCAAGTGTGCGCCGCCCCCTGTCCCAGAAACTGACCCACAGATATCTCCAGCAGCATCATGGGCAGGCCGACTAGAAAGAGCAAAACCACATACGGCACCAGATACGCCGATCCATAGCGGTCCAGTTCTCGTGGGAAGCGCACCACATTCGCGAAGCTCACGTTGAGGCACAGGCAGAGCACAAGGCCACGGAAAACGGAGCATTTGGTCTGGAATGGAGTGGGAGAGGTGAAAATATTGGTTTAATAAATGCATTGAATAAAGTTTGATATAAATTGATATAAGTATATGACAATAGTTATATTCTTCCTGCATTCAACATTTTCCCTCTAATTAATTGTTGCTCTTAAGATGGAATCTTCCTTGTGCCCACATATAACCAAATATAAGCCTTCAGTGTACAGACAGTCAAATTTATGTATTCCTATTTGCTAGATATGCACATTACTTCTCTATATTGATTTTAATGTTCTATTACACCAATTCTAAAGGTGGATATCCAACGACCAACGATTCTCAAACATTTGACAACATCCTAAATATTTTACATAATCTTTCACTTAAATTTTCTATGCATGAGAAATCTTTATATCAAAAAAGCACAGAATGCTGTTCTTTGAAACTAATTGGAAGTAGCATTATTTTCCCAAAAGCAGTGTAATCTGATATATAGCCATCTCTTGTATTATATTTCACTTTTTCTAGAGTTGGATGATAACAAATTATTTGGAATGAAAGCAACAGTTCACATGAACTTCATACTACATATTTGTCTGTCCGAAAGTTTGCTCAGTTGCTGGGCAAACACGAAACACGAAATGACAAATTGCTGATGGCATATGCAAACTCATTTGAGTTTGAGTTTGAGTTTTTCTTTTTATTTTCTGCAGGAAAACGGTAGCAACAGCAGCCGTCACAGCCCAGAGTTTCTGTTTGTCGCATCCGCCGGCTGTTATTCCGCTCGAATCAGACAAAAAAAAAAACTCAAATAAACAAAAAGATACACCTACAGTGGCGCTGTCATTTCCGGCACTTCCGCTTTCGACTTGTATAATTCCGCTATGGTTTGCTTTATTTTCATAAATTACACAATTTCTTTTTTCTGTTTATTTGTCTTACGGCTCATATTCCTCGAATTTCCCCACTCCAAATCGGGGTACCTGTGACTTAGTTCTTTGTGTTTGCTTTACTCTCGCAACACACACACAGTGCCACACTGCCACACAGTGAGCTGCAAAAGAAAGTACCCTGGCCAGCCCAGACCAGCCCAGCAAAGGGAGATCTTATTAAGGGGAGACCGAATTCGTTCACGGCTCTAATAAGTCATCTGCAAAATGTACAGCATAAGCCCATTAGATGTGCGCTCGCAAAAAAGATAGACAGCAAGCAAATAGCAAACTAACAACAGTCGACACTTTGTCTACTTTTTGAGAGCCCAATACAAAGTGTAAGTCCGCCAACTGAAAGATACCCTGTAGAACTTTTTAGCTACGGCGGAAATAGTAAAACATTGCACTCAAGCACTCTGGAATGTATATTTTCAAGCCCGAAAAGAGTCTTTTTAGTGGAAGTTCTCCTATATAATGATACCCCGTTAATGGGCCGAATGAGAATAGTAGATACTGCAAGAACTACCTCAGGTTTTAATCCTATTCCTACTCCTAGAATACAAACAATTTTCTAGCTATCGCACTAATTTATAGCTTATGAAGATTAAATTGGGGCAAAAATAGGTCCAATCAATCTACGGCTCATGGATGTACATAATGTAATATGACAATCAAACCTAGCTAAATCCTTTCTGCTTCTCCCCGATCAAGTCATGCAAAACTGGACCTCCCACCCTCTCATTATACCTTTGTAGCCTTTAAAGAGTACAGGGTATATCGAAGAGCTTGCCAAGCAAGCGCTATTAAGTGAAATTCATTCAAGAGAGCAGAGGAAACAGGCAGCAGAGAGGTGATCTGAACGACGGATAATTCAATTCACGACAAAGAGTGCGTGCGAGAGAGACAGAAAATCAGTCTGAGCGTGACGTCGGGCGCTGCGTAGCCAGTGCAAATTGATTTGTTTCCTTTCGCTATAAAAATGATCTGATCTGATCCAGATTCAGCAATCTGATAGATATGGTCGTTATCTATGATTCTGCGTTTTTAGTTTTCTCAAATCTGCAATATTGTGGATGCAACAGATTTTCGTCCTTTGTGTGGGCAGAAGGGGGTGGGGCTAAATTTTGAGATATACGTTTTATAGTGAGATCTAACAGAAGTGCGGATACCAAATTTGGTTACTCTAGCTTTAATAGTCTCTGAGATTTGTGAATATCCCCAGATTTGCATCCTTTGCGGGGGCGGAAGGGGGTGTGGCGAAATTTTGAAACAAACTCGTCTCGGTCCGATATATTAGGAGTGTGGATACCAAATTTGGTTGCTCTAGCTTTTATAGTCTCTGAGATCTAGGCGCTAATGTTTTACTCTAAGCAAAGCCGCCTATGCTACGTGTGTGTTAGAGAGAGACAGGGCGAGAAAAAATGAAATTGTTTTCTTGATGCTGGCTATAATAATAATACGATCCAATTCAGATTCTGCAGTCTAAAAGATATGGTCATTCTCTACGATTCTGCGTTTTTGGTTTTCTCGTATCTTTAAAATTGTGGATGCCACAGATTTTCGCCCTTTGTGGGGGCGGAAGTGGGCGGGGCAAAGTTTTGAAATATTTTTGTAGCAGTGACATATCACAGAGGTCCGAATACAAAATTTCGTTGCTCTAGCTCTTATAGTCTTTGAGCACTAGGAGCTAATAGGGACGGACAGACGGACAGACGGACGGACGGACAGACGGACAGACGGACAGACAGACAGGGCTCAATCGACTCGGCTATTGATGCTGATCAAGAATATATATACTTTATGGGGTCGGAAACGATTCCTTCTGGACGTTACACACATCCACTTTTACCACAAATCTAATATACCCCTATACTCTTCGAGTACCGGGTATAAAAACAAAAATCAAATCAATTCTCTAATAGAAGAAACCAATTCGACCGGAAGATCAACTTTGATTCTATAAAATATTGATCTACATTTAATCAAGTCCCGCGTAAATAATCAGTTTTTTGTTTGTTTTGTTTTGTTTTTATTTGTTTGAAACCAATTAGATTTTCGAAATCCAAGCAAACCTTGCGATAAACCTTAAAAATAAAAGAAGAAATTGTTATTATTGTAAGCACAGAAAAGAAGTTTACAACAATAGTACAAAAGAAAAATTCTGCTGCCCCTACAAGCAATACAAGATCTGTCCGAAGATGGAGATACCAACCACAAAGTATTTAGCCGACTATCTGTACGTGGTGCACGAGGATGTGCCCTTCCGATACTATCGCAAAGTAAGTGCTGCGGGAAGAAAGGAAGGGAGCCTAGCAGCAGCAGCTGTTTGGGTGTTGGGTTGTTGGGTGGGGCGGGGCGGGGTGGGTGGTGGTTGTGGGGTGTCGGTTCATCATGCATGATATGGCATATGATATGTACATGTGATGTGCCCCGTAATGCTCGTCATCTATGCACGCTCATAAACTTCAAACGCCGTTTGGCTCGGCTTCGCTGGGCGCTCTTTTATTTTTTGTAGTTTTATTTTTCTGTGTGTGTGTTTTTTTTGTTCACTGTGCGGTTTTCGCTTTATTAACTGCGCTTACTTGGGCGTCACGTTGTTAGCGCTTGCTGTGGCTGATGCTGTGGCTCATGCTTTGCCTCTGCTGTTGGCAGTTCGTTTGTCTAACAGATCACCTCTCTGCTGCCTGTTTCCTCTGCTCTCTTGAATGAATTTCACTTAATAGCGCTTGCTTGGCAAGCTCTTCGATATACTCTGTACTCTTTAAAGGCTACAAAGGTATAATGAGAGGGTGGGAGGTCCAGTTTTGCATGACTTGATCGGGGAGAAGCAGAAAGGATTTAGCTAGGTTTGATTGTCATATTACATTATGTACATCCATGAGCCGTAGATTGATTGGACCTATTTTTGCCCCAATTTAATCTTCATAAGCTATAAATTAGTGCGATAGCTAGAAAATTGTTTGTATTCTAGGAGTAGGAATAGGATTAAAACCTGAGGTAGTTCTTGCAGTATCTACTATTCTCATTCGGCCCATTAACGGGGTATCATTATATAGGAGAACTTCCACTAAAAAGACTCTTTTCGGGCTTGAAAATATACATTCCAGAGTGCTTGGGTGCAATGTTTTACTATTTCCGCCGTAGCTAAAAAGTTCTACAGGGTATCTTTCAGTTGGCGGACTTACACTTTGTATTGGGCTCTCAAAAAGTAGACAAAGTGTCGACTGTTGTTAGTTTGCTATTTGCTTGCTGTCTATCTTTTTTGCGAGCGCACATCTAATGGGCTTATGCTGTACATTTTGCAGATGACTTATTAGAGCCGTGAACGAATTCGGTCTCCCCTTAATAAGATCTCCCTTTGCTGGGCTGGTCTGGGCTGGCCAGGGTACTTTCTTTTGCAGCTCACTGTGTGGCAGTGTGGCACTGTGTGTGTGTTGCGAGAGTAAAGCAAACACAAAGAACTAAGTCACAGGTACCCCGATTTGGAGTGGGGAAATTCGAGGAATATGAGCCGTAAGACAAATAAACAGAAAAAAGAAATTGTGTAATTTATGAAAATAAAGCAAACCATAGCGGAATTATACAAGTCGAAAGCGGAAGTGCCGGAAATGACAGCGCCACTGTAGGTGTATCTTTTTGTTTATTTGAGTTTTTTTTTTTGTCTGATTCGAGCGGAATAACAGCCGGCGGATGCGACAAACAGAAACTCTGGGCTGTGACGGCTGCTGTTGCTACCGTTTTCCTGCAGAAAATAAAAAGAAAAACTCAAACTCAAACTCAAATGAGTTTGCATATGCCATCAGCAATTTGTCATTTCGTGTTTCGTGTTTGCCCAGCAACTGAGCAAACTTTCGGACAGACAAATATGTAGTATGAAGTTCATGTGAACTGTTGCTTTCATTCCAAATAATTTGTTATCATCCAACTCTAGAAAAAGTGAAATATAATACAAGAGATGGCTATATATCAGATTACACTGCTTTTGGGAAAAGAATGCTACTTCCAATTAGTTTCAAAGAACAGCATTCTGTGCTTTTTTGATATAAAGATTTCTCATGCATAGAAAATTTAAGTGAAAGATTATGTAAAATATTTAGGATGTTGTCAAATGTTTGAGAATCGTTGGTCGTTGGATATCCACCTTTAGAATTGGTGTAATAGAACATTAAAATCAATATAGAGAAGTAATGTGCATATCTAGCAAATAGGAATACATAAATTTGACTGTCTGTACACTGAAGGCTTATATTTGGTTATATGTGGGCACAAGGAAGATTCCATCTTAAGAGCAACAATTAATTAGAGGGAAAATGTTGAATGCAGGAAGAATATAACTATTGTCATATACTTATATCAATTTATATCAAACTTTATTCAATGCATTTATTAAACCAATATTTTCACCTCTCCCACTCCATTCCAGAC